CTTGGAAACTTTTTTTATTGAGCAAAAAATTTGAAGGAAAGGAACATTTTCTAAGAGAATGAATTGATCTAATTTTTTTCTATAGTCATTAGGAAAAGTGCATCAAGAATTCTAAAGAAATCCAAACCATTTACCGTAGGATGTTAAGGAAACAATTTCAATTGCATGGGAAAATAAACAACTACATATACAGAGTTTATATTTATAATAGAGAAATTTGGCTATAATACCTATATCCATTACCATCCTGTTTTTAAGGAATATTTAAGGTTAGAGAAAAACGTCTCTAATTCTGTATGATTCACAGAAGCAAAATGTTGAGCTATTTGTAACATAAAAAAAAATTCTATATATGACATGAAAGATTGGAAAGATGCACACCAATTTAAAAACAGGGTTGTGTTTAAATGGTAGCATTGTGTGTTATGGGTAATTTAAATTCTTACTTGTACTTTTTCACCTTTTTAGGATTTCCTCTATATTACAAATCCAGTATTTTTTATTGAGTGCTTGTTAAATGCCTAGCAGTGTCCTGGGAACTTCAGTTAAAGTGGTGAAAGGGAGCTAATTATATTTGGGATGAAAATGTACCACTTTTAAATATTATATTAGCAATTATCTTTAGATATAACAAAAATCTGGTTTGTATTTCAAAGGTGTATATATGTGTTGCTATTAGATTTTTTGCAATAATTGACCTGAATTCAATTAATTGTGACAGAATCCAGTGCTTTTTTAAAGAATGATTGATGTAGAGAATAAGAAATGACCTCCCATTTGCAGAAGTGGTATTATGATGAAATACCTGAAAGCAATCCCCCAAATGCACAGAAATTTGGTATTACAGAAAGCAGCACAAATGAAATAAATGTTTGAGGTTTTGTGTGTGTGTGTGTGTGTGTGTGTGTGTGTGTGTGTGTGTGTGTTTTGGTTTGTTTTGCTTTGTTGTTTTGCTGTTGTTTAGTTATAAGCTCAGCTTTGGGAGAAAATGAGCATTAGCAATTTTAAAAACTCCTTTTTCATTATCTTGATAAGTTAAATTTACTATTTTTACTGTAATAAAAGACGTATCCGTCGAAATAAGCCTTCTTTTGTGAAGCACAGTTTAGTTCTGCACAATAATCTGAACCCAGCAAAGCACACATGTAAAAGCACCTTTATGCATTTCCCCTACTTGCCTCATTAGACTCAGCATTCAAAAGAGATCAATGACTTGGCTGAATTGACAAAATATGCTTTTTCCCTTTTGCTGATGTGCTAAGACAGAAAATATTGCTTTCTTTTTTTTCCCCCCATTCCTCTAAAGCATTTCAACTTTCATTTCTGTAAGTGTTATCACATTCGACGACTTCAACACACTCTCCATTTCACTAGCAATCTGTTAGTGATCTGCCTCTTTCATCTCTCCACAGATTTGTCCTAATGAAATCATTATGGCTGAACTGTTGTTTTTCATCCGCCTTTATTCCATCTCTATACGGTAATAATGATCTAATTTTATTTTCAGAAACACGGACACACAGCCATAGTTTTGAGTCATTATTTTTATGTTTCTTAAAAGAAAAGTAATTGATTCTCTAAATATTTTGTTTTGTGTGTTTATCGAAGGTGAATACGAGACAGTCATGCTGCACGTATTCCGAAAGGTGGTAGGATGGAGTGGGTAGATGCCTCTGGGTTCAGAATGAACTGGGTTCAAATCTTCTGCCCACTACTTAGAACTATGTGATCTTAAACATGTAGTTTATTTCATTGACCTTCTGCTATTTCTAAGGTTTGCTATTAGTATTAAATGAAAAAAAAGTGTATAGTGTATAGAAGAGTATAAAAAGTGTATAGAAGAATTAGCTCAGTCTCCAGGAGATAGATGCCATGCTAGATGCTTTACAGGAATAGAGCCCGTTCTTATGACTCAAGGTCATTATCATGGGTGCATGCATCTAAGCCATGCTCCAATAACTGGTATGGGTACATGCATGCATTGTCTGTCAGGATCAACTTCACTCTTTTTCATATCTTCCCCCACCATTGATCTATAGTGAACTTAAAAACACATATCATATTTATATAAAAGATATTTTAACGAAGCATGAATGATATGTTGAAGGTGAACTTAAGGATCTGGTTTAAGGATGGAGGCATCAAGATGCTTATAAGCTCTTTTCATGTAAATATATTTTTTTTTCTCCGTAATCTCCCCAAATTTTTTGTTGCCATTTTGTAATCTTGTCCCCACCCACCCTGGCCCCCATCTTCTCCTTACCACACTCCCGTTCTCCAGACATTCACTGATGGGCTTTCTGTCAAAATAGATTGGTTTGCATTTTCTAGAATTTTATATGAATGGAATCACATAGGGTTTACCATTTGATTATTTTAAAATTCATCCGTGTTTGATGACATATCAATAGTTCATTTTATGGCAAAATAATATTCTGTGGGATATAACGTCATTTGTTTATTCATTTACCTGTTGATGAAGATTTGGATTGTTTCTAGTTTTTGAAAATTGCATTTTGATCGGCTACTATGAAGATTTGCATACCAGTTTTTATATGAGCACTTGTTTTCATTCTCTTGAATTAAAAAAAAAAAAAAAGGAATGGCATGGCTAGAAATGGAATGGCCAGATTCTATGGTGATTGTTAAGAAACTATCAAACTGTTCCTGCAGTGGTTATACCATTTTAGATTCCCACCAGTGTATGAAAATATTTTGTATAGAATTGGCAATATTTCTTTCTTAAATGTTTATAGAACTTACTGATGAAGCCTTCTCATCATGGAGCTTTCTTTGTGGAATAGATTTTAACTATGTAGTAAATTTTTTAATAGTTGAAGGACTTGTCACATAATATAATTATTATTGAATGAGCTCTGGTAGTGTTTGTGTTTATAGGATTTGTCCTTTTCATGTAAGTTCATAGAGTTATTGATGATACTTTCTTACTATACTTTTAATACCTGGCTCACCTCTCTATTTCTTATATTGATAATTTGTGGCTTTCTCTCTCTCTCTCTCTCTCTCTCTCTCTCTTTTTACTTTTTTTTTTGAAGATCAGTCTGACTAGAAATTTATGAAATTATCTTCTATAATAAACAGCTTTGATTTCATTGATGTCCCCTCCCCCACCCGCGGTTTTCTATTTTCTATTTCATGGGTTTTCAGTCTTAAGCTTTTTCTTTGGTCAGCTTATTTTAGATTTATTTTATTCTTTGTTTTCTTATTTCTTAACACAGAAACTGAGATGATTGAATTGAGAGATTTTGTTTTCTCACATAAACATTTAGTGTGGTAATCTGCCCCTCAGTGCTACATTAGTGGCATCATCCCACAATTTTAATACATTTTTTTTCATTTTCATTCTGTTCAAAACACCCTTTGATTTCTTTTTTTTATTCTTTTTCCAGTGTGTTATTTATAAGTGGGTTTTATTTATTTGATTTTAGTTTGTATATAATGAGGGACTTTGGGATATTTTTTTTCACAGCTGCCCACTGCTCTACTTTTGTCTCATTTACATTGTTTACATTGAGAAACCTGCTGTCATCCTTATCTTGATGTAATATGCATTTTTGTTCTCTGCTTGCTTTTAATATCTTCTCTTTTCAGTGGTTGGAGCAACCTTATTATGATGTACATTTTTTTTTTTCATGTTTCTTGTGCTTGGTGTTTGTTGAGCTTCTTGGATCTGTATGTTTATTTTTTTCGAAATTTGGAAAATATAAATGTTAATTTAAAAAATACTTTCCTGTTCCCTCTCTCTGCTCTGTTTGGTATTCCAATTATTTGCACAGTTGACTGCTTTTAACATTCTTCCACAATTCACTGATGCTCTTTTTGAGGTCTTTATTATTATTTTTCTCTGTGTTTTAGTTTGGGTAATTTCTCTTGCTGTGTATTCAAGTTTACTGTACTTTATTTTTTTAGTATGTCGAATCTGGCATCAGTCTTATCCACTGTACTTCTCAGTGGAAACATTTTGGTTTTCCTCTCGAAAAGTGTGATTTATGTCTTTTCAAACTTTCCATCTTAACTTTTGAACACATGGAGTTTACAATGTCTGTTTTATACCTTTATTTATGAAGTCTGTTATCTGTGTCCATTCTGAATTGGTTATGTTTCCTTGGTCTCCTCCTCCCTATTGTTTGTGGTTTTGGTTTTATTTGGTTGGAAACCATGCATTGTAAATTTCATCTCGTTAGGTGGTGGATATTTTTTGCATGCTGAATATTTTTGTGTTCCAATTAATATTCTTAAGCATTGGTCTTAGTCATAATTAAGTTACTTGGAAACAAGTTGACCATTTTATGTCCTTTTTGTAAGATTTGTTAGTTGGGAGGAAAGCTGTGTTTAATCTAAGGATAAGCTTTTTTCAGTACTGAGACAAAATGATTAGGATGACTGTCAATGCTTTGTGAATCAAGTTTCCTGATCACCTAGTGAGAAAAGACAGGATTCCCAGCCTCATGTGACTGCTGTGAACTGTTTTCTCTAATCTTTTCAGTTGATTATTTCCTTGGCCTTAGGCAGTTTAGTTAAACACAGCCGACTGGATAGTATTCACTTGAATCTCAAGGGGAATGCTTTGCATCCGCATTTCTATCTTTGAGCCATGCTCTCCTCTCTAATTCTCTGTCCTACACATTCTGACTCCCTTGATCTCCTAAGATCTCAATTTAGACAGGCCCATGGCTCCATTTGGGCTCCCCTTTACTGCTCTTAGCATGGAAATTCTTTGAAGGCCCTAAGCTGAAGCAATCATAGGGCTCAGGTACTTTGTGTCTTATCTCTCAGGGTTGGTTCATTGTTCATGAGTGTGTTCAAAATCATTGTTTTACATATTCTGTTGCTTTTTTTGTTTGTTTGTTTTCAGGTGGGAAATTAAATCCAGTTTATGTTCTATCTTGTAGATCTGGTTTTGAATCTGTTGTCTGCTTGCTCATTTGTTATAGTTGAAACCAGGACAAGTGGAATTTTATTGACTTCTGTTTTGTTGGTCATTGCTATATGTTATAAATATTAACATCTAATAATGTTGTAGGCATTACATTGTGTTTTTGTTGTTGTTATTTGAATTAGCAATAATCGCGCTTTGGATAAACCTCATTGGCTATGATATTGCCACTGCGCAAAGCTTTTTTGTTGTTATTTGAAGTGTGGGCAGTACTTATATTTTAATCTTATGATGGCCAATTTTTATAAATTAATGAATAAATGTAAAGTAAGATGTAAGTAGTATTAGGAAACATTAAATTACCCATAGTACATAAATAGAATTGGAATTTTTAAAAATTAGTTTTTTGGAATGTCATGAAAAATCTGAACCTCTGATTTTATGTATTAAATATGTAGAAATAATGTAAAGAAACTTCAGTAAAATTTTGTGATTCTTCTAATGACCTAAATATATTAAATGATAGAAAAATTTGTACATAATTTACCAAATATTCCATTTCTATTGAGAAATTTGATATTAGCCACTAACAAAATAATCCTCAAGAAAATACAGAAAATACCTCATACCAATTGAGTTACTAATAGTAAACATTCTCATTCTTTGATGTAGGAAAAGCATGTTAGGCTCTGGAACTTAAATTTAGGGACAGTGGTGGAGAACCTATAAATACTGAGCACAACCACAAAGTACATAATAGTTCTTACACCCAGGAAAATTTTAAAAAAATTAAATAGGGATAATAGCTCTAACTAAATATTTCAAACTAAAGAAAATATTAGGGAATATATATGACTACATCTTCAAAAACAAATAATAATGGCCTTTTCCCTAAAAAGGAAACTCTTCAGCCATTTCATCTATTTTTACTCAATTTGCTTTGTTCAAAAAAAAAAAAGTGTTCATCTGTATTTCTTTAACATATTATTTTAGAAAAGCACAGATGATGTTTGGCACTCTTAATTTTCTAAGCCAAGAAGTAGTCTACTTAAAACTGGCTTCAGGTTTCTTTTTTGTTGTATATTTTTACTACATTTTCATAGCATGTTCTGCTTAAAATACAAACACACAGATGGCAAGATACTGTTACCAGCCATAAGGTTGAAGTATGTTTGTGTGTGTTGGTTGGAAAATATCTATAAAATGAAGTACTTGTAGACACTAAACAAAATCCACTCTCTCTAGATATTTTATAATATAGCTACATATGGAGCACTTTAATGACCACAATATATGCTTCTAAAATTAGGCTTGTTTACTTCAGTGAAAAATTATACGGCTTTTGGAGAACAAACCCAACTTGCCTCCAATTTTTCAGCAAGATGAAAGAAAGGATTTCTCTAACTGTAACCTAAGGAAATGAAAAAAAAAAAAAAAGAAAAGAAAAAAAGAAAAAAGAAAGGATTTGGAATTGAAGCTATTTGACATAGTTTGTAACATATACTAAAGTATTTGGTATTATTCATGCATTTACCTTATGCAAATGTAGTGACTTTTAAGCAGATGCCAATATTTTAAAAGGAATCAATTTTCTTAAGCTTGGTAATAAAACATGACAAAAAATCTACTATCTTATTTTACACATTCCTTTCCAATTCGATATTTGTTATTACCATGCAAATGGAGAGAGTTCTAATGAAGAAGCTACTTTTGTTCTTAAGACATAAAATTAATTAATTGAAGCATTTTGGTTGTAAGATTCTAAACTTGTAGGCTGTTTTAAAACAATTTAACTAAAAGAGGAAAGAGAAAACTATACTATATAAAAGACATGGCCAACTTCCAGAGAAATCTATCAGGATAAAATTTGTCCTCCAGATTTAATATATTGGTAAATTAGATATAGAGAGATAATTGATTTAATGGTCAACAGAGAAACTAAACTGAGAAATTCAGCAGAAATATCAGATTCAGTCATCATAGATGTACTATGAAACATGAAGAAAAAAATCATATCAGGTATATTTGCTAAAAAAAAAAAGATCAATTTGAATTTAAACATCTTATTTGGTATGGTACAAATATTTTAACAGGGAACGTTTCATTTTTTTGACTTTGCATTTTTTAATCCAAATATTTCTCTTTGTCTCACCAACAAACCATATTCAACTAGTCATTGAGATTTCAACCATGGTTTCAATTTCTTTGATTATATCGATTATGTCTGTGTTTAAGGGACAAGAAGTAGGAAATTATTTACTTATTCATAGTTAACTTCTTCCTTGTTTATCTATTTTATTTCAGATTTTAGTTATATACAATACTTTGCATTTTAGCTGGTTTTCAGTAGCTAAACATTGCTAGTATATGGCTACCTAGATGTATTTTAGAACAACAACAACAAAAATAAGTGCTATATGTTATTTGATGGAGTCAATGGACAATTGCTTACTTGTGTCTGGTAGTAATCATTCTGTTTATTAAAATGCATGTTATTCCTTTTTTTCTTCAAGTTATTTTGTTTATGGCTTATATTAATCTTTGGGATCTTGGAAAAAGTATATATTTAACCTATTAATTGCTTTTTATTCCACTTTTTTTCTCTTAAGCTCAATAAATGACTGTGAAAATTCGCTTGCGGTTTAAATGATACATTGCTATTTAGTTGCTATTCAATAATAAATGTTAATTGGTTACAAAAATCAAAATCAAAAGTCATGTATTTGTTTTTGCTCTGTTTGGTTTATCTTTGTCCTGTCAGAATCAAAGTAGTGGTGGGGACACATCATTCTTGCATTGCATTGTTTTTTCTTTGCCTTATGTTACACATTCCAACTCGAGTATCTCACGAGGGCTCAAAATGTAATAATATCCTTATAAGTAGATAAATTAGAAAGTTTTATTTATGAAGTGAAGAACATTAAGGAATTTAACTTGTAGCTCTATGGTAGATTTAACATTCTACCATAGACATCATCGTTTTGGGTAATTTGTTGCCTCTGTCCACCTCCTTTCCGTACGACTTTCCTTACAGGACTCCACTCAATGAAATTCATTTTACTTTAGAATGAATTTATTTATTATACTATTTTTCTTTGTGACAAAAGAAACCAAGAGAGCATGGCAAGGGGGGAGATTCATTAGGAGACAAAAGGAGGTGCTTGTAGGTAGAAAGAATAGGTCAACTTTGCTTTTTCAAAATTTTGTGACATCATCTTTCTTATATGATTGTAGTTTGGATTATAATCTTTCCTTACATTGATGCTCTAAAACTGAGATTAATTTGTGGATGTGATGAGGCTCTAAAGAAAATCAGAAATCCTGTGCAAAAGGGAGGGCATCTCCTTCTCTGGAGCTAGTGAACAGTTTCTATTTCTTTCTACCTTCTATAATCCTGACTAAAAAAGGGAAAAAAAGAAAAACCAACAATTAATATGTTTCTTTAGTTTGTATCATGTAAAATCACCTTAAATTAACTATTTTTTCCTTATAAATACACGAGTGGTCTCTTTTAAATAAGCATGTGCATAATTATTTTTACCATCATGATCAACCTCATTACTAATAGTGAATTTTGCATCCATTTTTGGTAACAACACTCATTGATTAGTCAGCCTCTCCCTGATCCATGGGGGCAGGCAGGTTCTCTGACAATGACCATAACCCTCATAACACCCCTGGCCAATTGTGCAGGAAGTCATTCCCTCCCAATTTCTGCAATGAGCAACTTATTCCCTAAAGTGTGAGATTTGATTACCTTTTCTCAGCATGCATTCAGACAAATGTTATTATTGGTCATAAAATTATCCAGCCCAGTGACCTATGGTGACAGTGAATTTCACAAGGTGACTGCCTGCTGAGTGAAGCATCTCCTTTTATTTGTTCTAAATATTTTATATTATGGGGCTTGAAAATAGAGGAAGTAACTTCAGATGTTTAAATACAGTGGCTCTGACCTTCTAAATTGCCAAGATTTTCACATACATTTTTCTCCCCTTCCCTTCATAGAGTAGGGTTGTCAAATTTAGCAAATTTGACAGGATTTCCAGTTAAATTTGAACTTATGATAAAAATGATTTTATTCTAAGTATGTGCCGGGCAATATCTGGGACATCTTTATGCTAAAATTTGAAATATGTTGTTTATCTGAAATTAAAGCTCAACAAGGTGTTCCGTATTTTATCTGCCAACCTTTCCCCTGAGTGATTCATTTTCACCTTGGCTTCACCAAAACCATTTATATTGCTATAGGTTGTCCGTATCTAAATTGCTGATTCAATTAACTTCCTTTAAGTGTTGTGTACAAAGAAATGTGACAGTTTGTCTAAAATTCTTTGAATCACTCAGGAGGTAAGTAGGATGGAATGTTTGCTGGAAATATGTTCAGTTCAAACCCCAAATATGTTTGTTTGAGAGAGAGAGAGAGAGAGAGAGAGAGAGAATGGGCAAGAGGAAGTCAAACAAGATTTTTTTTCTTTTGATAAATTGTTTTAGAGAGACACTGAAGCATTAGTTCTGAATAAAAATGTCCATTTCCTTTTTCTTCCCTCTTAGAACTATTCTCACGCATGGATCTATACATAAAATTCATAAGTGACTGCTGAACTTAGCCCTGTTACATAACTAAATCTAGATCTAACTGTTGTCTGAATGCAATTGTCACCTTAGGGGAATCTGTGTAGCACTGAAAAGGTCATGAGAGCACCTGCCCAGATGTTAGCAGATTGTGATTCTCTGTGCTCGAACTGTGGCCGGTAGAGATTATTTGTGGGGTAAAGCACTAATATACTACCCCTCCTTAAGCCACAAATGCTCTGTTCCAAGACCCCCAGTGGGTGCCTGAAACCATAGATAGTACTGAACCCTACAGATACTGTCTTTTTTTCCTGTACATACATACCGTGATTAACAACAATAACTAATAATAAAATAGAACAACTGTAACAATATACTGTAATAAAAGCTGTGTGAATATGATCTCTCTCTCTCTTAAAATATCTTAGTGAACAGTGCTCAACTTTTTATGATGATATAAAATGATAAAATGCCTATGTAATGAGATGAAGTGAGGAGGATGTTGTAGGCTCTGTGAATTAGGTTTAGGCAACCTTGACCTTCTGACATATCATCAGAAGGAGGATCTCCTGCTTCCTGTCTACAGTTGAAGGCAGGTAGCTGAAGCTGTGGAAAGTGAAACCATGGATAAGGAGCAGCTGCTGTATACCCTCAGAGGAAGTTGCTG